CAACAAGAGAAAAGTAACCAGGACAAAATTTATTAGAACTAAAAATAGCTGAATGTGGACAATCACCTGTCTTTTGCAGACCAGTGTAATTAAGGCTAATTATATGACCAAACCTCTTGGGATTGAGTGGAGGTCGCACAGCTAGTTGAGGTTCATGGTACCACATTTTGAGTCCTGAGAGTTTATCATTCATGTCACTAAAGATAAGAGGAAAGCAAAATAAGTAACTACAGGTTAACCAAACAGTGAAGGTAGAAGAAACTCCAGTATTATCTGATTCTTTTAAACATTGTGCTGTTCTTGCAAAGCTGGTAAAGAATTCAGGATCTTGTTGAGTAGGGTGGCACTCATTGAAAGCCTGTAATCCTAGATATTTTGGAGGATGAGGCAAGAGGATCACAAGTTCAAGGACAGGCTGGGCAGCTTTCTCAGACCCTGTTTCAAAATAAAAATTTTAAAAAGGAATGAAGGTAGGGCTGGGGAGATAGCTCAGAGGTCTAAGCACATGGATGGTAAGCACAAGGACCTGGGTGTGATCCTCAGCACTGCATGCTGTGGCAGCCCTGTGGGGGTGTGGGGCACACACCTACAATCCCAGCTCTCAGGAGACTAAAACAAGAGGATCACTATGAGGCTGAACTGTGTAGCCAGACCCTGTAACAAATACATAAATTTAAAAAAAAAGAAAGAAAAGAAAAAAAGGGATGAAGGTACAGTTCAGTGATTAAAAATTTAGAATAAGATATGGTTTATAAGTGAGTAATATGACACTAAATTTTATGGATAAATATATACTCTAAGTGGATCTAAAATTTGTGCTGTTTATAAGTATTTTCTTAAAGTGCTATGCTTAAATTGACGTTATGTCAAAGTAAATGCTTTTTAAAATAAAGGAAATGTGGTAATTTAATGGTATTAAAATGATGGAAGCTGTCATCATGTGTCACTGTTGTTACTCATACAGTAAACTTTTTAATTATTTATGTTGACCTTGTCTTATCTTCTAAACTATAGAGGAAATTTATTGAGGGAAGAAATCTTGAGAACAATTTACGTATACACAGATATCTATATACATGAAATGGGCACATCACAAATTCTTTTTTAGGAGTTAGGAGGTAAAAGAGGCTTTAAAAAGGAAGGAAAGTAGGAAGGAAAGTGATATGTTGTGTCAGAGACAGAAAAACGATGCTGCTGCCCATAACCTGATTCATTAACTTACACAGATCCTAGAAATTAGTAAGCAACTTCTTTGAGTTGACTCTTGAATTGTGAATAAATATAAGGAAATATTTTATATTTTAAATGTAAATATAATCTGTTTACAAAAGAAAGTTTCTAAAACAGACACATGTATAACAATAATATGTCTGAATTTTATAAGCACTGGAAATTACCAGAGTAGATTGGGATGCTAGTTTTCTGCATAAAAAAGAATATTCAGAATGATGACATTTTTAAAGTAATGGCAAAAGAATTATCTTGATACCTTCAAGCAATGTTATCTTTTTCGTTGAGGGCTTTAATGAAAAACATGGTAATCTGTACATAATGGATGCCCCGAAAGAATAGAAGTTGTGCTTCAAGTCTCTTCAGTTGGATTTATTACTGCTAGTTTATTTGTGTGCTATCTCGCAGCGCACAGCTAATAAAAGCATGATCATGTTTGTATTTGGGCAAGTTTGATCTGAGGTGAGTAACATCAAATAATGGCCTATTGACAAGCAATTAAATGCCACTTCTTTTCCTACCTCTGTTTTGAATTATGGTTGCCCTAACTAATGGAAGCATCCTTATGTTTTAGAATTCCAATATCATCTAAGATGAGAAGAGCATTTTAATTAGATTTGGAATGGAATCAGCCAAGACCCTATGCTCATCATCTTGACTGCTTGTCCTCGTTGATTTGGGCCAAAACAAAACAAAGATAAATAGCAAATTTCATTAACAAACCATTTACTTCAACTGCATATTCCCATGTCCCCAGGGAATACACCACAGCTTTCTCCAGACAGAGTATTATGTTTTTACTTTTAACTTTGGGGTAATTTATTCAGCTTTTCTGCATTATGGAATAATGTTTCTGAAGCAAAAAGAAGTAGGGTGGCTTTCTTCTTTCATTCACATGTAACACATTTATTTGATGACTGAGAAATAAGAGGCACCTTTAGGAAACCAATTACTGTTGTCAGACTCTAAAGCAAAGACAGTAATAAATATAAGACTAAAATTGTTATAGAAAATATATGCATTATCCAAAATATTACTGAGGTAAATTCAGAAAATTTATAGAGAAAGTTGAACATAATATTTTCTTGTAAATTAAGAAGCTATTGCTTCATTACTTAGATTTAGGGTCCAAAAGTTGTGATACTGTAAAATGTTATCGATGGAGCCAGCTTTATAAATTCCATACTGCTAAGCAACATTATTATTATTATCATTTTTTGGCAGAACTGGGGATTGAACTCAGACCCTTGCGCTTGCTATGGAAGCACTTATTTCACTGAGCCATCTCCCTGGCCCCCTAAGCAACATTACTAATGTGCATATTAGTAATCCCTTTCCAAGAAAACCGTCTTATTTTCACTTACCATGTACCTACCTTTCCATAAACACCATAATATAGGTATGCTTCGATTTCATATTTCACCATTGTATTATGCTAGTTTTAACAAAAAAAGTGTTTACTGCCAATTAAAACAAGGCTTTATTCACATGTGGCAACTATTTTAAATGACTTAACAAAGAAATGAATCTGTCTTTTAAAGAATCTGCTTCTTTGTTGTCTGTGCTTTCGCATAATTCTAATTGCCATGCTCATTAAATTTTTATTTTGTGTAAAATTTTGAGAGCAAAAGAATTTAATTCCTGTGTGATGCAAAGATAACCATTTCAAAATAATACATACACTGCCTAAATTATAACCTGGTCTTCCAAGTAGAAAGTAATGACAATCGGATAATAAACAGATGGAAACAAGGTTGCTGAGGAAAAAGAACAGAAATTAACTCCCTAATTAGATAACCAATGCTTTTGACTACATAATGCCAAAATAAGTAATTTAATATGTTGAATCAGTTAGACTGGTTATTATCATGTAAGCCAAACAAAAGACTGTGTCTTTGCTTTCATTCTTGAATTAGCTATAAGACATTGTGTGGACGAAATTTAAATATGTTTCAGGCTCTTTTTTCCTAGTAACTAAGGCAACATTTCCTAGGAGACTGTATGAAGGAGAAATAATGTTCTTTTTAGCTATAAAGCAGTATATATATTCAGAAATTAGTTTGATAACTTTGGCTGAGTTTACTAGTATAGTAAATCTCCTACACATTTTATATGGTGTGTATCTTTTCTTTTTGTTATGTATTTA